TCTCGTTCTTCTTGTTTCTTTTCTCGTTCTTCTTGTTTCTTTTCTCTTTCTTCTTGTTTCTTTTCTTGTTCTCATTGTTTCTTTACTTTTTCCTCCAACAACTGCTGTAATCTCTCTTCTTGTTTAATTTCTCTTTCTTCTTGTTTCTTTTGCTGTTCTTGTATTGCTGCCATCAAATCTGCTAAGCTGTAGTTTGATTTGCCGCTTCTCGTTTCCATTTTTTTTGTCCCACTCTCTGACACCAATTTGTTATGTCTCTGGTCGTTAGTTAATTTTTCCGTAAAAATTCTTTCCGATGAGACTTTAGCGACACAAGTCCTTTCTTATATAAAACTAGTTTATTCTTTCTCAATACAACTTTGAAATTCACTTAATTTCAAGGTCACACTATAAGTTAAACAAACGCTATAATTCACAACGAACTACACACGCGCTCGACCCAACAATACGTCTCTATCTCTGTCTGCAGTTCAATTACATTCCATTGCATTGTTGCCGTCACTTCTTACCGGTCTTATATATACAAGAATACCGCATATCTAGTAACCTCTCGAGGCTTCAGGAAGGGACGTAAACGTTCGAGAATATGACGTGTTACTAGCGTCACGTGACCTCCGCTGTCGTAACAACATTATAATTCGCCTATATATAGATGAGTACGACAAGAATCTTTACTATATATTTTATGTACCATATAAACTACAGTGTTATGTTAAAGCTATATACTGGTCGCCTCTTTAAAATTTTTTATTTATCTTTATTTTCAGACACTGCTAATAACACAGCCCAGTCACCACCTTAGTCTTTCTCTGGTGCCAGCGATGAATGTGAAACTTGTGAGGTTGACACTATTGGGTCATATTTCTGTGGTGATGACATTGACAATATGCAAACCAGTTTACTTGAGCCTCAAACTGCTTCAAGCACTAACAACTCCATTTTTCCTGGGCCATCATCATCACCCTGCACTACAGCAATTATAGATTCATCAGATATTTCTCATGGTATTTCTGTAGTCACTGGACCATGCACTGACACTGGAAATTTATTGACACAAACAAAATGCCAAGCTATTAGTAATCTTTCAAATGCTGAAAAGTGTCCCTATCTTTATAACCATCTGGCACCACCAAAAGTTTTCCTACCACCTTTTATCGTGGGTGTAACTGAAAATTTAAAAAAGCTTGGCTTGAAAATTATCCATGGTTATTATATAGCCCAAATATTGGAAGGCCTTTTTTTGTAGTCCTTGTGCTATTCTTCTTCCAGCGTATAGTCGAAGTGATAAAGTAGCACTTGTCAACAAGTCATTTAGGAACTGGATAAAAATTAGTGCCACTTTAAGCAACCATTCTAAGCTTGTTTATCATCGTGATTCTATGCAGGCTGCTGCTGATTTAAATGGTTCCATTGAACATCCATCATCCAGTAGAATTGATGTTATTACCAAAAGTACCCTTCAATCACGTATAACTCAGAATAAACATATTCTTCATCAAATTGTTCGTGTCATTTTTTTTTTTAGGAATACAAAGCTTGGCATTTCGAGGTGATACCGAAGATGTAAATTCTTCCAAAAATCCCGGCAATTTTCTGGCTTTGCTGAAACCTTATGCTGAAAATGATGAAATATTGAGAACTCACTTATATCACCCCATGGGGGGAAAAAATTGCTACGCATTTATTTCTCTGCTCACAAAATGACATCATCAAAAAAAGGCTGGATTCTACTCTGTTCTTGCTTATGAAATGTCTTCTCACAATGTGAAACATTTACCAATATGCCTCTGTTTTGTAGATGACAAATGTGATGTTAGGGAAGAATTTATTGGCTTTGTTAAGCTACAGAGGGTCAGAGTAACATATATTGTATGTGCAATTACAAAGATATTGACTGATGTTGGATTATCTCTAAATGAATTGTGTAGTCAAGGATATAATGGAGCATCACCATGGCTAGCAAAAGATCTGGTGTCCAAAAATAAATTCTAGATAAGGCCTTGTACACTCATTGCGCGGGTCACACACTTAATCTTGCTATTATAAATTCATGTTCAGTCCTACCAATACGAAATTGTATCGATCGAGTTAAAGAAATAGCTATTTGGATTAAATCCTCACCTAAGCATGGGGAACTATTAAAGGCAATCTATCAAAAGGGCATTCAGCATGGAGCAAGTTTATTACGTTTCTACTACTCAATGTGTGCATTACACCCTGGATTGAGAATATTGAAGGTTAGGAAAGGTTCCGTTTATGTCATTCATTCTTACTTCACATCTGTGACGTTATTGCGTATGTAGATGATAATTTAGAAATATTTAATGACAACTGGGCTGCTGAAGATAAGAAAAATGTCATGGCTTATCTACAAATACTGGAATCCTTTGAATTTTTTTAAGAGCTTTACAACATCCCCTTTACTAGTTGAAAAAAAGCCTCTGTAAATTTGCGAGGTCCAAGCCAAGACATTGTTTCCCCTAATAGCAGAGACGTTTTTAACACTTCAAACTACTTGGTGCAACTTTTTTCTGGGGCCCGTCCGTATTGATCAGCTACAAGTATAGAAATTTATAAGATATTTTGCATTACTTTGGGGGCCCGCAATATGAGGGTCCCATCGATGCGTTATCCAGACGTTAAATACGCCATTGCCTGATAGAACAATGCTACAAAGAACTGACTTTACTAAGAATGATCGTAGAGGATTAATCACATCGTATCTTCAAGCACAGTAGTAAAATTGCAAACAAATATAATATTAATGTTAGCATGCCAAGAGTTAGTCAACAACAAGCCCAGCTTACAAATGTAGAATAAAGTCCCGCGGAGGATTACTTTAAGAAAATAGTAACCATTCCTTTTCTTGACCACATTATCACTAATCTTTTCTCCAAATTTGATGCACATGTAAAGCAAACAACATCAATTCAGAAAACTTATGCCATCAAAGCTCATATAAGAGATTTCTATCTCTGATATCAGACAGGCTATATATTTTTACAGGGAAGATTTGCCAAATCCTTGTGTTTTTGATGAAAATTTTCATCGACGTAAGACAAGATGGCTTTCTATATCTCTCCAGAACAGGCCTCAGATAGTGGCTGATTCCTTAAAAACGTGCTTCAGTGTAACAAATATCTTTTGCCAATCTGTCACTAAGTTCATGCTCATGTGAACGTTCGACATCTACTCTCCTCCGGTTGAATAATTACTTGAGGTGTACATAAACCTAAGAAAAACTGAGTGCTCTAGTTTTAATACATAATCATTATGACACTGTTATCAATAGTGAAACTGTAAGTTATTTATGGAAAGGCACCACAAACAAATAGACCACGCTAACACGTTATTTCACTAGTGCATACATGTACGCATATGTTAACCAATGATTGAAATAGCTAATATACTATTGTTGTCCATGTTGTTAGTAATATAATTTAACAATTAATATCTACTCTGCATATAGATAGTACAGTACTTTACTATAATAAAACATACTGTTGCGTCATCGAGGTCACGTGACTGGTGTGGCGCCCTCTAGTTTCTAGAACTATCTTGTCCTTTCATGAATGCTCTAGTATTTACTAGATAGGGTAGGCTGGTATATATAAGAGGGTGACGGAAGGTAATGTAATGTGTGTGTAGACAGTGAGTAATTGATCTGCAGTCAGAAGTATTATTGAGCACGTTCGTTGTTATAGCTTTTGTTTAGCGCGATTGTTGAAGTTGAGTGTATCGGTAAGGTT